TTTACCTCTTCTCCAAAAACTGTAAGCATTTTCCACTTGGTCTCCACCAATTTGTTTCTTAACTTTGTGAGCATTAGAAATTAAGTTAGTAGCTAATGGCACTACTAGTATATTTAACTTGATTAAATGTATTTAAAGAGTTGGTTATTCCTCCTTGTAGGTTACTTGCAAATAATTCATTGAGTGGTTCAATTTCATCCTCCCTTTGGCAAAACAGAGCTCTAAACGCAATAGAGAGTCTTACACTGTAAGTCTTGAAAAAAATGATTTTCTTTATTTAGAATTTGAACCCTACATCATAGTCACAAACTTGATTTGCCAAGTGAAAAGGTTGATCCAAATTTAGGAGTCTCATTTGTTCTCACTGAAGATCAATAGTGTAATCATTTGTGATGTTCAATGACTATTTTTGCTAATAATCAATGCTCTGTGGTGCTTTACATTAATTGTGCAGGGATTTGGAGAACAATTTGCTTGTCAATGTTTCTGGCAGTTCTAACCTCCCCTTAAATGTCACTCTCTGGTTTGCTACTGCATGCCTTTTCTTCTGATTTTACTTTAACTAAGTTGCTGTTAATGTGTTTAATTTCACTTCACTTTTATATCTTATTACTTCGCCTGTAATATAATATAATGTACACTTACACTTTTAACAGGCTTGTTGGTTTGTGTGTGTGTGTGTGTATAAAGAAAAGAAAGGTTCACAAACTAAAGTGAAGTTGAATATTTTCTTGTCTTTCAGGCTTAAAGGGAATCCTGTATGCTCAAATGGAAGTTTAGTTCAGTTTTGTAAATCTCAAATTGAGAATGAAACTAGAATAAGCACTACAACAAACTCCACCATTGTTGAGTGTAAACCGCAATCATGCCCTTATGAGTATTCCCCAACATCTCTTTTAGATTGCTTTTGTGCTGAGCCTTTGCTAGTAGGATTTCGGTTGAAAAGTCCTAGCTTTTCAGATTTTATTCCATATAAAAAAATGTTTGAGGGGTACTTGACTCAAGGTCTTAGCTTGTCTGTTTATCAACTCCACATGTATTCATTTGCATGGCAAGAAGGACCACGACTAGGAATGTACTTAAAGCTCTATCCTATTTATGATAACACTACCAACAGTCATTTATTCAATCCAAGTGAAGTTCAACGAATCAAGAGCATATTCACTGGATGGAGGATCCCTCTTGATGGCATATTTGGACCTTACGAACTTATAAACTTCACTTTATCAGATGTCTATAAGGATGGTTTGCTCACAACTTCATCTCTTGTCCTAAGAATTTTTATCCATAACTTCCATTTTTTGTTCTTCACAAAAAAATTCTTATATTATCATATAATTAATGTTGCAGAATTCAGCTCTTCTTTATCAGCAAGCATAAGTAAAGGTACATTGATTGGCATTATACTGGGGACCTTTGCTGGTGTAGTTATGTTATCTGCAATCATTTCACTTATTCTATTCACAAGGCACTTGAGGGGCTATCATTCAATTTCAAAACAACGTCAGGGTGAGTATCTTAAAATTTCTAATGATAGAGTGTGCAAATTGATTGTATATAATATTGTGTGTGCTACTTTCTAGATTGATTGTCTATCAAAAATAATTTTCTTTTTAGATATTACATATGGTATTATTTTTCCACGTAGATAAATCTTGATGCTCTGATGATTTTTGTTCATTAATAACAAGGAGACTTTACTAGTTTCATTTTCATTTATCTTGTAGAATAGTGAATAGAATTGCATTTTATATAGTTGGTTGTTACTTAAACACTAAGGAAGAAGTCATGTTTTTTTGGCCTCTGTTTAGTTATTCATCTTGCTTTAGATTCATTTTGGATTTGAATCACTACAAAACACTTCCTTTTATCCAAATATATCTTATTCATCTCCTAGAAAAATTTCAAGAAATTATAAAAAAAAGGCACATTCTTTAATAGCACTTAGTTTTGTTCAAACATTTAGAGACCCGTTTTCTTGTATAGCCTCTAGATCCTTGTTAAAAATTGATGGTGTCAAGAGTTTCACATATGGAGAGCTGGCTTTGGCAACAAACAATTTTGATGTCTTCACTCAAATTGGCCAAGGTGGATATGGAAAGGTTTATAGAGGCACTTTGGCTAATGGCACGATTGTGGCTGTAAAGCGTGCCCAACAAGGGTCATTGCAGGGTGAAAAGGAGTTCCTAACTGAAATACAATTGTTATCAAGGTTACATCATCGAAACCTTGTTTCTTTGGTTGGTTATTGTGATGAAGAAGGTGAACAGGTACTTTATCTCATGTCTTTTAAAAATTTTGATTGATATGGTACTGTATTTTTTCCCTAGCCATAAATGTTTAAGAAATAAATGTATGGAGGGACAAAAGATGTAAATTCAATTTTTTATTATCCTAACTATGATAAAATAGTGGAGAGATGAACCATCACTAAGGAAGCAATTTGATTAACCAACTTAGTATATGGATAGAATTTCATGCCTACTGTCATTTGTTAATTAAAGTTTATTATCACGTCTGGTCGTTGCTGTCAACAGATGTTGGTGTATGAATATATGTCTAATGGCACTCTACGAGATCATCTTTCAGGTAAACCTTTAAGTTCAAGAAATCCAAAATGACAACCTTTAATTCTATATGCAAATATCATGATTCTTAGT